GCTGGATATTGCTTTTGTATTTGCATGGTCTAAAATCATTTAGACTTAGAATCAAAAGTTGCAAATGATCTTGTAACATTCTGCAACAAAATAAAACAGATTCAATCATTTTGTAAAGCTTTCCCTATATACATCAGTGAACTGATCGTCCGCCAGGATGACAAAAAAATATGATGATGATATAACGTCACATGTACCAGACAGTTAATGAATGAAGACCTTTATTGTACATTTGTGTTCTACAGAACTAAGTACAGGTCGCATGGGTACAGAACATGAACATAAACATATACATTACAAATATATGAACATATAAGAGTGTAAATAAATGTCTAATTTCTATTCTTTTCGGCTTCATCTCGCTTAGTAGTGATTGTATGGATATATGCGGCTGTGAGATTACTTAGAGTAGGTTTATCAAAAGTTAAAAGGAATACAAATTTCTCTTTACTAGTCAAATAACTAAAGTGGGGAAATATACTTAATACATGGCTAAAAAATATGAGTCTATCTCTACTATACAAGGGGCAATCTATGGTGAAATGTATTTCATCTTCTATTCGGCCTAAACTGCAGAATGGACAGGTTCTTTGTCCTAGAGGAGTGCGGTTATGTCTTCCTGATTCGATTCGTAATTTATGACAACTGATTCTTAGTTTTGTAATGGAGGACCTGTGACGTATGTTCGCTAAGTTGAGATATTTTTCTTCGTTATAGGAAAGCTTTAATAATCTGTATAGACGTAGTTTGTTCTTTGCATTCACAGCTTTGCTTTCGTTGTGAATTTCGGATAGGAATGTTTGAAAATAAATGTCTTTTAATCGTTGGAAAATTGATGAAATGGTAGGGGACGTGTTCGAAAAAATTGATTGGGGATTTTGCCAGAATCGTGATCAGAGTTCGTGACACAACACGTCGAATTTACAAGGACTTTATTGATAATTCGTCCGTACCGTCCTTGGTATATTCAAGAAAGTAGATTGACCGGAGCACAGTCCTGGGTACCGGCTCTGTGTTTATCCCACACTTCCAGACAGGGCCCAGAGCGTCGTCGTTATGACATCTATTGGAAACGTGACCACACTCTAAATTGTGCCAGCTATAATAAACCCAGGTCTATGACGACATCCGCTATGCGTCGTGAGATTGATTTAAGATCACAAACTGTTTCGGAAATTCCAGCTGTCTGCATCAGAATCGTAATGTGTCAAGACAGGAGACGTGACTGGACGAGAATGTTTCCCGTTTCCAGAAAGAGATGAAAATACTACTCACCCCTTAACATCACAGAATCCACACCTTATGCCATGTTGATGTGATTATATGGATGACATGCTTTCGCAACCCCAAAACTGATGCGAGCGTCCGAATAGAAAAATAGAGTTTTGTAAAAAAAAAGTTGCTTTCATTATGAAATCTACGTAATCATGAATTTTGGACAAATGACACAGAGTATATGGTATGGCGAATAATCTACTCTTCTTCATTTTTTACATTTACATTTTCATCTTTGTCGTTTGATTTTGGCATTCTACGACATTGGTATCGTTTTCCAATGTTTTTTTCAACTAACGGTATATATTTGCTTATTTTTCAACTGTTTGGTACGCGATTAACAGTGCGGTTGGAAACTTTTTTTGTCGTCTATATAATTAAAACATGGTCTTTATTAAGTAGGGTCTTCCGTCTCCCACTTCCTGAAATTCTATTCATTGTTCCGATAACCACCTTAAAGCTACGGTCACAACCCGCCGTGCGTGTTTTTTGGGAGGCTACGTCTGCTACGTTTTTTCTGAAAACGTGGGGAAGGAGTGGCGTCTAAGCACGTCACTCGCACGGTTGCGCAAAGTGTAAGAGTGTGGTCTGCACGCCAAGTCTGGCCGTGAGCGGTTTCGTGCATCGTACGTGCTTCTTCCGCACGGCACGTACGGGGCACGCGCGTCGCTCGTACTCGCACGCACGGGTGGTGAATCCGCAGACCGCACGTAGAAAAAGTTTTAAATGCACGGTGTGTCTGCGTGCTCCCCGTACGGAGGCGGTACTCACCACGCACTGATGCCCTACGTTTGCCCGCGTTTTTGCACGTAGACAGCACGCAGAAGCACGTACGGCGGGTTGTGACCGTAGCTTAAGACAGCATCTGTTAACCGGCTGGCGACTATAGAAAACCAAGATCGTCAATACAGTTACTGTACTTTCGGTTTGCTCCCGGGCGGGTGTTTTCAGATTGCTTTGGGTTATTTCTGGTTTGTTAAAGTAGTGTTAAACACTTAGGGTAAGTGGGGAAATTTAGACATAATGATCCGGCTCGGAAGTAAATCACATGTACATGAAACGTGCAATTTACGTTTCAGTCTACAGGGGGCTCTTTTACTTTGTAAGTGTCAGTCGTCATTTTTATTTTTTGATATTACGTCCTAATGGTAACTATTACTGCAACAAAAAATTTTAATGAAATATATTTTGTTGAAAGGCACAGAAAATGTGTTACTGGACGTTATTTTTTGTTTAAATGTGTGTATGTTTCACACACTTATTAATTTTAAAGCATGTGTGAAAAACACAGACCTTTTGGATTTCCAAACCTTTTAGGAATATTTGTATAACTGCTGATCAATTTCAAAGATCGAAATGAACGTCCTCCGTCGGGGTGTCCCAGAAGGAGTATTATTTCATGTCTGGTTTTATCATTTTTTCTATGGGGAATGTTCTCTCATTTTTAGATGTACACCATAGGTAGTGACCCTGTAATAATTGGCGTAAATTCGAAGGAAAAGTTTCCTGACTGATATTACAGTTGTCAGTTATTCACCAATGGATTGAATACCTCGTTTGTAGTAGAACTGTTCTGTCAGCAACTTTTGTTACATATATTCTATTCCTAACCTTTTTTTGGATGAAATGTATTGTTTCTGTTGTGTTTCTCCACCTTACTTTTCTCCTTCTGCCGAATGTTTAAAGGAATCAGTCCCAGACGTTCTTAGTTATACGTTCTTAGGCTAAATGACCTGAAATGTGGGGCATTTGGCACTTACATGGGCAAATAGCCCCATACCTTCTGGTATCAACTGATTGATTGAAATTTGGTAGGAGGTTGATATAAACCCCTAGTGTTTACCTCACAATCATTGAATGTTCCCATACACAGGATGGTCGACATTAGCTAACAGAGATATAGGTCAATATATCCTGTGCACACAGTGCAGGCACACACGTGAAAGTTTCCCTTGGGAAACCTGTTTTTACTCAGTAAACACAACGTGTACATTCTTTATCTTTGTTTGTAGCACGTCTGTGGAATGACCTCTTATCTTGTTTGAATGCCCACAGGTACCGACCCTGATGGACTTTGGGGATGACAGGTACCTAGCCAGTGGTGATTTTAATCTACATATTAAATATTTGATTGTACATATTGAGTTTGTCCTGGATGTCAGCTGAAATATTTTCTGCTTACCTCTGCTGCCTTGTTATAAAAAGTATAGTTTTTTTCAAATTAAAGTGTATATTCAATTATAATGCTATTAGTCTATTATATTGTAGACAGCTTTGAAAGATGTCCATGACAGGTTAAAGGTAGTGAGATTTTTCATGTTATGTTCAAAACAACGGAATTCCATCACGTTTCAAGATATAGATGACTGATAAACATTTTTTTTTCTGATCACATGGGCTTCATTTATATAACGGGCGTGGGAATAAAGTACCTTCTTTGATACTTATTTATTTAATCTTTCATCCTCTAGTGAGCTGTATAAACGTCAAAAGGTAAAAAGTTCAGACAAAGATGATTATCAGTTCAGTTAGACTCCTATATTGACAGGTAAGTCTCAATAGCTTTGATCACCTTGACAGGTGCTGGACAGTTGGTCAACATTTCATGATAACGATGGTAAGTACAAACACTTGGTGTACTTTGATTTGACATGCAGGTCATAGATTTCTCATGTTATTGTAACATCATATTTCATCAGTCAGGTATATTACATATTTATTTAATGGCTAATCAATTTTGTGATGACATGTATTATGCACCGTTATGAAATTTGAATCAGTTCAAATAAGTCACCGACATCGATTTTAATAATAGTAAAAAGCCAAGCTAAGATGATTATCAGTCCAATCATTGGGTACGTCTGGGTAGCTTTGATCATCTTGACAGCTTATGCGCTGTTGTTCAATATCTCGTGATAACGTTAAAAATGCAAATACTTGGTGGACTCTGTAAACTACGTGTGTCTGTTTAGCTAGCCCATTAGGTCATTTACTTAGACTTACTTAAGTCTAAGTCTAATTAGGTCATTTGCAGGTCATTAAATGTTTCAATAATATGGTGGCAGTGATCAAATTTGTAATTTTTGGTAACCTTATTGTTGTAAAAAAATTAATCTAAATAAATGTAGTCCATAGTCAATTTAGCTACCAATACGGTACATTTGTTTCAAGTGTTGCTTTAATGTTTAAGAAATATACCGTATTTATCAGATTGAGTTGGTAGGGTGGGAAGAGGCTAGCCTGGGTATATACGTAGTATGTGTATACTATTCTCTGCTGTCAGTGGATCGTCGTTACAAATACAGATTCTACCCTGTCGGTCGAAAAGCATAGTCTGCTCCAATGCTTTATTTTGACTAGCTAATTTTTGGGCTGAAAGTTAGGTAACTAACTTAACTACGGCATAACTGCTTCATTATTAATACTCATGTAATCAAGGGAAAACAGCTGTGTTGCCGTTATTATCATACACGACGCCATGCCCTCTATAATGTTAGTCATATTCAATGTATATCTGCCCTTAAAACTTCTCTGTTGGTTGTGACTCTGTACGATTGTATGGATTTGACTGATGTAGGCGCATTAAGTGACAACACACACAATAAGTTACATTTTCTACACTCACTGATAGACATGTATTGCGATGAGAATATGCTAAATTGAATTAGAAAAAAAGTAATTCTTTCTACGTAGAAGTCATAGTATAAGAAAAATTATCCTTGCTATAATAGATTTAATAGATATAATTTTCCAAATTTACCAGTAGTTCATGTACATGGCACATCGCAAATTTGACACCTCGTTAGGGCTGTTCTCAGTGTCACAATAGTAAGCAGGATACGATCAGCATACTCTGACCATTTTCAACAACGATGTCATCTATACTCACGTGAGCTAAGCAATGCTACATCAAGAGGTATATATTGAAGTGATATTTGCCAGCTAAAACCACTGTACCGCCTATTGAGCCTGACCTATTTTGCATTCTACATTAGCCTAGAAAGAAGGTCTCCCGTGCCCTTATGCAGAGCGTAGGGTGGTGCCCATATCCATCTCTGTAGCCCTTGGGCGACACACAGTTGTGCAATGCACTACAGCAAGAGGCTGGTCCGCTGGTAGTGCTGTGTGTTTGACCTTCCCACACTTTTTCTCATATGTGCTGAGTGCTAAGCAGAGAAAGAAGTGTGTACCATTTTTTTAAAGTCTTTGGTATGACCCGGCCGGGGATAGAACTCACGACCTCCCGGTTACAAAGAGAGAAAGTTACACTGTAAATGATGCACATTGAACACAGTCTAGTGCTGATCTATTTTGGATTGACAACTAAAGTGCCAAGTTCTCCACCCTTTCATGTAGTTCCCGTTTGCTTTGTCTCATTCTAATTGTATATTCTGCTGCACGGAGAGCTGTCTTCACTATATCGAGAACCTGTTGTATGTTCTCAGTAGCGAACGGTTTCCCCTTCATGTAATTTGTTAGGAAGTAGGTCTGGTCTGGATCACTCCCCGTGATCTGTCTTGCAAGTTCAGCTATGTTCTGTCTTTTTTGTTCTGTACAGCCCTTCCTCTGAAGTTCATCATCATGAGTAATGATTGTCAATGTCTTCATAGCTGCAACATAAAACATGTCAGTGATTTGGTACCCAGTCCATGTGCAACTTAAGAACTTAATGTTCCCAATATTAGGGTTTTTATGATTTCCATTGCAGCTGCAATGCTTTTTTTTTCTTTTTTCACATAACATTTTTGTTTTAAAAATTGTATTTTGAATTAAGGCCACAGCAAGTAAATAGTATGGATGACATCAGCACGCTCATTACATTACGCCTGATTAAAAAAAAAAAAAACAAGACATTTTGTTGCCCTCTAACAGTGGTCAACATGCCGAAAAGGGGCAAATATGCCTGTTGCCATGCCGGAAGGTGGATGGCAGAAAATATAAAGAGAGGAGACAAGGCAAGGCAAGGCTCTGATTTTGTCTTTAACTTTGAATTGATGAAGATATGTATTTCATCCCCTGTAGATATGATTGTCCACCTGGATCAAAACGATTTGTACAAAGGTATCGATGGAAACTTTTATTTTTCAGTGACAAATGGGCTACACTTAACTTATGCTACGTGCACAATATGTTACGTGCTATTGCTTGTCTAACAGGATTTTTATTGGCTCGCCTTGTTTTTTTCGCCCTATCGCGAAGGATGTTATCCATAAAATTCACATGCTGTTGTCTAAGTATACCTCTTCCATACTCAGATATAATCAGATGTTTTTCAGTATCTTTATGACAAAGCTACCCTAGTCAATTATAATTAGGAATGATATTATTTTCCAATGTTGTCTCAATTAATGAAAACTGCAAGAAGACAAAAGCTTCACAAAGTGGTGAGCATATTTTACCTCTCTTGAAGAGCTGCATTCTAAGAAATTCCATGTGGCTCTGATAAGCTCCACTTTTCAGACGGGGGTCACTCCCTTTTAGAAACCACAGCACCACATGTATTTCTCTGCTCAGCCTGTAGTCATGGCCTGCCATCTCTCTCATTTCTCCTTTGATACAGACAATGAAATGTAATTGTTACGTCCAAAGCTAAAGAGCAACTGAACATGTTTTCAAGCACTAACTACAATATGTCAAAAGTACATTCTTCCGAAAGTGCTGTATACTAGTAATTTGGTCTGTATGGATTTTTCACATATGATGCCAATGAGGCATGATACAGCAAACAGTCCTTTACATAACCTACTTGAATCCATTTATACCAGTAAAAAACTCCATCATTCAAACATTTAGTATACACCACCACCACCACCACCACTCCATAGCATACAAACAGCTCTAAGGTTAATCTGAACACTGTGCTTATTAGAATGTAAACCATGCACCTTAACTGTTAGCTTTGATGCCAATTTTTAAACTTGATATCAAATTATCAAAAGACATAATGATATGGTATAAACATGTAACATAATACTGTGGTGGCCATAGAAAATTATAGTTCAATAAATATATTATAAGCTGTTACCTCTTACCTCGATCTATGAATTGACCATCTCTTATATCCCCATTCAGGATGGCCAGCATTTCCTTGTTTGCATCCTCACCCAAGACACCAAACCCTCGGGTGTCCGTAAGTTTGAAGCCAGGTTTATTCGTCCCTTCTCCTCCAAAGCCAAATTCCTCCAAGATGACCGTTCCTTAAACCGATTAGTGAACATTTACAAGGCTATAATATTATAATTTATAATATTATAATTTATGTATTAACAACTCTGATTTGAACTTAATCCTAATCTGAATCTCTGTATTGATCCTTTCATTCATTCATTCATTCATTCATTCATTCATTCATTCATTCATTCATTCATTCATTCATTCATTCATTCATTCATATTCCAATAAGCATAAATCTCTAGGCGAACGCATTTTATGTATTTCATGATGTTTTTTCATTACATATCAAACTTAACATATATACCATTTTATACTGACCTTCTGCGCCGCTGCTCTGTACCATTGCTAAGTCCATGTCCTTCCCCTCAATGCATCTCGACACTGTGTTTATAAACGAGCTTTTCCCCGAACCTGTCAACCCAAAAAGTCCTACTCTCGCAATGATCTGTCCCATCTCTCCCCTTCGAGCGTCAGGAAAGTTCTTTACTATCTGTCCTGTTTGGTAGAATTTGAGAAAACGCCGAGCATTTTCGACTTCAGAACCAGCCATGATCGCTTATTGGAATGCTGTGGACGACTTGTACAGTCCTAATTTCGGTCATTGAGGTCAATGCAGTTAAAGGGACTGTTCATTTTCAAATAACTGAAGGGTTTGATTTTTAGGTGCCCGGCTTTCTCTCGGCTTTATTCTCATAAACAACCGCGTTTTGGCACTGCCTTACTGCTATAGTTGCCGTAAGGTAAGTCTTATTTAGGTAAATAACCAGGGCTTTCCCGTTTGTAATGTTTTATAGGTAAGTAATATAATGTTTGACAGTTAAATTATAAGGAGAGCCGAAGAATGCGTAATCAAGTATAAAAATGTGTCTACTATTTCTTTCTGTTCTTTTGTTGTATTATTCTTTACAACTTTCCTCTGCGATGTTACATTTCAGTCTACCAGCAACAGAAAAAGCCAAGAACCACTGTGTGATATTTTTTTAGTAAGTGACGCCAAACTGAGCAAACAATTTTACTCGATCAGACTCAACTATTAACCGCCAGGAGCCAAAGCGTGCTGTACTTTGTCCTGTTACGTGTTTTTTTTTTATGTAGCCTCAACACAAAGTCGGTTGCGAAGAACCAGAAAGGAGGAAAGGGTAGAAGACTGCTTTACAAATATATGAATGGCAACTTTTCTAAAATAAAGATTTCCTTCGAGGATGCAACAATCATAACATGTTATTAAAAAGTTGCGCACTTTTCGACATAGATATTGCAAGGCACCTGTCAAGCTAGCACCAAAGGTCATTTATGGGTCTGGATTACGGAAACAACAAACAATCGTGGTCTTTAGTTAGTGATAATTTGATTACGATTGACGCCTGAGTAGTGAAACACAAGCCCCATTGTATTAAGAGGGGGGGATTTGAAAATCAACAGTATGCTTCAGATTTTTACCACACAGGAACACAGAGTACATTTGTTGAAAGGTAATGCCATTTTTCTTTTATTACATTCAAATTGCTATCGATCTTTGTGGTTAATTCAAATTACAGAATATGACAGTGAATTGGTAGTTTAGTCCCGCATATTGGGGTGGATAACCGTGGATTACAAGCAAAATATGTACAAACACAACGTTTGACTTCTGGTCTCCACTGAAAGCCATATTTATATTCGTAAAAGTGGTCACATTTTCAGTGATACTGCTCTGTTTGAGTTTTGTCTTTTACCTCTGTGAATTAAGTAAATGTGCAAGATTATGTGACTTAAAATTTATATAAACGGTAGAAGAGGTTTTTATTCAAACAAATTTGTCCTGGTCTATCCTCAGGCTAAACATCCTAAAAATCCTAAACGTTTACAATCTAGCAGGTCCTCTTCTTGCAGTCGTTAACGACTTCAACTAACAATTACATCATCGCAATCATCAAATTGTCAAACATTTTAATGGTTCTATATTGTTGCAATAATAATGATGATTTGTAGTACCTTCTATCACAAGCCAATAATCAGCATTTTTAAGCTAGAAAAATTGATGATGTTAGTTTTGGCAGTCAATAAAACTTCAGATGAAACAATGAGTTGGTTAAAAAAAAACTTTAGCGTCCAATTATGACAAAACGTTATATAGTACCAATGAAACAACATTGTTAGAACGTCCTTTAGTTTTGAGGGGATGGCGTAGCTTATTCAAACAAGGCGTCTTTGATGTATGTTTTCATTCTAGAACTAATTGGCAGGTCGTTTTCCAACTCGTCCCAGTTGTCTCGAAACAGTTTGGTAGTTGTAATGTCTTCTTCCTTCAAGGCAGCAACAGTTGGTCCGACCTTGTCATGCTGTACAACAGACGATGTTACAGTCAGTAGTGTATAATGGATCACGAAATATAATGTTAACTCGATTTTTATTGTGCTAGAAAATGGGTAGTTATATAAAGCCAAAATGCTTTATAACTTACCGGGATGCTCTTGGTTTGACAAAGCCTATGAAAGAAGCCATCGATAGACTCTACTGTAAAAAAAATGGACAGATAGTACTGTAAAATTGGAGAAAATTGACACTTAAGTAGCTTTAAACCTTGGCTTAAGTGTTATTTTTGAAACTCGGAGAAATACAAATATATTCTTTAGTCTCATCTAATTCCATGTTACGGGTATGTGTTTATCTCTCTAGCTTGAAGATGAATCTTCGTATACGTTTCACAGAAAGTGAAACTTTTTTCTAAGAAAAATGCCTTACCACCAGTTGCTTGCCTTGCCTCTGCAGCGTACTGTTGTTGCTGCTTGTGAATCTTTACGTATCTCTCCCCCACTAAGAGTGCAGCGTTTAGTATTTTCATCGCCTGGAGCTCGATGTTGAAGTCTCTGCCCTTGTCTGGGGAGTGGTAGTTCTCAATGAAGCAGACGTGGTTTGGAGGGCTTCCTGTTGCAGCGGATGCCTTTAGTTTGATCCTCTCCAGTTCACTCTTGTCTTGGACCCGGTCAACGTGCGTCACAACAGTTATTGGGGATATGCCTAGAAAAAAATGTGTCGACACAAAACATAAGTGCCAGCATACTTCCTGTCTGCACCGCAGGAAATGCCCTTTGCCTTAATTATTATGCCAAATTTGTTTTATGCAAGTATGTCAGATTCATAGCTCAGTACCCCCCCCCCTACCATAACGTTAAAAGGACCCTGTAAGCGTTTAGTTTAATTTTCCCAACGTCGGCAGAGGCAAGAGCTTAATATAAATAGGGAATAAACAATTCACTCTGCTGCAATGGCTTGAGAATGGCAACTGAAAAGTATTAGTTGCTTATGGCTTACCCTTTGGTTTCATAAAGCTTCGAATCGTGTTCAGGTTAGTTGTGTATGTCCCGTCAAGAAGTAGTGGGTCTTTGGCTGACAATACAATAACTATGCCATGAAGATAGTCGGGGAAGATGTCCCGGCTTTTATCAACTAGCACAGCATCATCGATGTCGATCATCTCGCCTGGTTTGATCCGTCCAAATACGATGTTAGTCATGGCATCGTACTCCTTCTTGCCGTAGTTGAAGAAGCCGCGTGTGTCGACCAAGCAGAAGTTGCTCCCTATGTCGTCAAGGTACTCTTGGACGAGAATTGTGCCTTCCTCTCCCGTTGTTTGGGTGTCACAAGTTCCTAAGCAATGTTACAAAAGTGTGGCAAATGTTATCTTAGACATGTATCTACAGTACGCCATGAAATTTTGTCTTCATATTTATTTGTAAATATTTAATTCTTAAACAGACAGCTTAGTTTCATTTGAAAACTTTGGTCATGCGCCCATTATCACAATGCCATAGGTTGTCATAGTTTCCCATTATAGCCGGAAGAAATACATATTATGTCCATTCATATGTAAATAGAATTGCCCAGAGAGGCTATATTGTCTGGAACAATATCACCAAAAAGTGTAAATTGGATTTCGTGACACAAAAACATCCAAAACCTTAGATGTTATGATTTCAGAGAGGCAATAGCAATATATACTAATGCATACAGCAATAGCGATATGGAAAAGAATTCGCTGGTAGCATAAAGTTGCCTGACAGGGACCGGGGCGACAAGTGACTTGAGGAAAAGGCGAAGAGAAGCTTCTTCCAATAATATTTTCCGCACATAAGCTAGGGTTTGAATCTACCTTTTTTGGTCTGTTTCATAACACGCTCACAAGTGTTGATGAAGCTGCTCTTTCCAGACCCGGATGGCCCGAATATGCCAATCCGTAAGCCACGACCACTTGTCTGCATGTCGCGTATGTCAATGGATGCAAAGTGACGCAAACCATGCTTGTCACCAAAGTTGTACTGAAGAAGCTGTCTTCTCTCCCTGACTGATTCCTGCTGAAGTCGTCTGAGACGTTCTGCTTCCCTCTCTTGGTCCTGCTCCTCCTGTTGTTGCTGCTGTCTTCGCCTTTCCTGGTCTTGCCTGTTAGCTTCTTCTACTTCTCTGAGTTCCCTCTCAGCTTGCTCTCTTAGCTCTTTAGCTTTGTTTTCCTTTGCTTCACTGACCTTTGTGTCAGTAACATCCTTGTATTTATCAACGTACACCACCGTTGTTCTATACAGAAGCTTGCTTACCTGTGACGAAACATTGTTCTGCGTTACAACATGAATTCATCAACAACAGCATAGTTTTGTTGTACCTGCTTGTCTGTAAAGTTATGTTTAAGTTTAAGTGGTAAATCATCAAATAGCCATGTAGGATGTTTGTACCTTATCCCCCATGTTGACAACACTCCAGGATCCTATATATAGGAGCTAGAACAAAACTATGGTCAAAGGCTTACAGTCCACAGCGAGAGTGCTATGTACAAAGCTAGCGAGGAGGGTATATAGACGCATGCGCTGTGCTGCCATTGCGTCAGACGATTTTGGCTTGATGTTTAGTTTAAATCTGTTTATGCACAACCACCATTACTGTTAGGAGAAAGCCACTTGCTCACTTCATGTTTATGTTTACGGATGCACAACTCTTACTATATTCGGAAAGATGTTCACACGAAAACAGGTGGGGCATTGTCTTTTTATGTTGTATACGGGGATTAGATAGCAAGGGCCGCTTTCCATTGACCTTTGTATATGAATAGCCGTAACAAGTTAGTTGTTGAGTTTTTACGAATACAACCTTTATCAGTAGAAGGTATAACTAACAGCCATCTAAAATATAGATGGCTGCATAATCAATGGGCTACTGGCGAAAAGAGTTTTTACACGTTCATATAGCGGAACACTGGCAGTTAGACTTGATACCTAACTTTTTTTTTTTTGCTTTAAGAACTGTGCTTTGGGTTTTGAGTTGAAAGCATGTCGATTACAGGAGTGGTAGTGTTGGAATTTAAATATAAAAGAAATTAACTCAGCTAATACATCTAGCTATATGGTCAAAGGCAATACAATGAATGTAGCATTGAATTTTTTTTTCATTCTTAGTCCAACATGCATTATGTGAAAGTGAACTGAAACTCCGAAGGTTTTTGTTGTTGTTAATGTACATAAACGTTCATCTGCATTGCATACGCTGTGGTTGGTACAAAATTTACAATACTTCTAGCCATAACAAAGGGTAGCATTTGGTACTATGTCATTGGCAGTAAGGGTATTGTCACTCACTTGGGATCGTACGTGTGCCATGTAGGAAAAGGTCAGGTGGCATGAACGGTACGATGAAGATGCTGTCAAGGCAGCAGAGGATGAACTTGAAACGCAACATGAAGAAAAGCTGGAAAGGGAAAGGGTCAGTCGGCAACGTGAAAGGGAGGAGAGAGATCGTAGAGAGAGACATGGACGAGAGAGGAGGGAGCAAGAAGAGGTGACTAGAAGGATGGCTCTCCTTCGGAGCGACCTAACGAATGGCCTGAAAAACTACAGAGTAGGCTCAAAAACTAACATCGCCAGGCAGGGTATCGACCATGTTAACATAGGTAAATTATTTTTCTTACATTATTAGTTCTGCTGAAGAGATTATAAGAGAAAAAATACCCTGCAACACATTGTTTCCTAACAACACGGCATCTCATTGTAAACAATGTATACTTACTAGGCATAAACCTTACGTAGTCTAGGCACATTTCTGTAGAATTGATTAGTGGTTTTTGCCTGTAAGATAAATCATGCCTCAGTTAATAAATCATTATTTCATAAATGCTCATATTTTTTAAACCACATGTTTTTCAGCAATGTTTGGGCCTGCTGGGGGCGGCAAGACGAGTTTCATTCAGATTGCTGAAACAATTCTCTTGGGTGGGTGACCACACTTTTTCAGAATATGTTGTTGAAATATAATAACGCTGTGCCTGTTATCGGGACAACCTGGCGTTTTGGAGAAAAGTCCACAAACGTCACACATGTCCTTCTTTACACCATGGTCGGGAGTTAGCTAGTCGTCTGTGGTTGGGGGGTGATCGCCAATGCTGCCTACTAGTCTCTTCACCAGTCGATTATAAGTTTGAACAATTAAATTCGAAAATTGTCGCGTTCTACTTATGCAATATGCTATTATGGGGCTATAATAGCTAAGGGTAGTTCCAACTCAACCTCAACTTTGGTTGGAGAATGCATATGGTCGAAGCCAGGGTCATGGAAGGACCTAAATGTGTGACTTGGGCTTGACGGTCGTGGTTGTACGAGTGATTTCATGTCAAATATTGAATGCAAATTGTCTACACTGTTCTATTGGTTGTTGTGGCATTTGCGCATGATGTGTGATTGAACATTGACAAGAAAGGAACAACAGCTGCTGTATACAGGAAAAAACTGTCGACATGTGGATGCCACTGAGCCCCTTCCTGCCCTCCCTCAACCAGACGCTCGGCGTATCAGTCAAGGTACTTGCGATCGCCCGTTTGCAGAGTTTGTCAGAGTTCGTATTCAGTGTGCCCTAATTTGCATTCACACTGTGACATTTCACAAAGAATCTGTGGGTGTTGCATATTCATATATGGCACTGAATATTCTACGGAGCACAAAATCTCAGTGCATGCCTTTTTCACATTTGACTTTGTAGTGCCTATTACCAATAATGATGAACACCACAAAGTAGACGAGAAAAAACCAAGCAGCACTCTCCCGTGTAAGGCCATACAAGACACCCAGATTAGATTTGTTGATTGGTTGGGTCTTGTGATACAAGCTGCCCATTGTTCATACTTGTGCCAGAGGTCAGGTCACATTAAACTATGGCGTTAAATTTTAGCCCCGGGTAATGGTACAATGCCCTGTTATATGTTTAATTAATAAACAAAATATGTGTGCGTGCATCACGCCAATAACACTTACTACTTTATATATGGCCCTTTGACAACCTCAACATAATCGATGCTTTGAAATTCCCCTGGACAGACGTTTCCAAACTTTGAATGCTTACCGATCTTGTGCCATGCCTGGCATGCCTGTTTCATACTAAGAGCGATATTTTGCAAGGTTTGAGGCACAAAGGTCACAAAGATGTCACAAGCACTAAAACCCTTTGAAGCATTTGTGAATTTAAGAATGAGATGATAATGATGCATTTAGGCCCGAAATTGTACCCCCCCCCCAAAAAAAAAACTGGGTAGTAAGAGGTCAGGATATTTGTACTTGTGTGGATTTATTTATCGTTTATCTGCCAAAAGCTTCCAGTTAAATTTTGATTATGTTTGCTTATAGTTTATGATAAAAGGTTACATCTAGATGTGAGGTTGCTGGGACATGGAGATTAGTCCGGAATTAGGCTGGAATTGAATTGGAGACTGTTTCGAGTGTGAATCTTGTTTTATTTGAACTCGTTTGTTGTAACATATATGTGTACAGGAAGGAGCACAGTCATCACACAATCGGATGCTAAAGAGGGGACGATCATTCTTCTGGAATCCCTCACCGACTTAAAGTTCCATTTGTTCGACACCGGGGGGTTCTTCGACTTGAACAAGTCCATGCATCAAGAGTTGAATAACATCCTTACAGGCTAGTATCATATTGTTTTAAAACTTGAAACAATAATTTTAAACGTTAACACCGCCCCTCCCCCTCCGTTGAGGACTACTGTGCAAGGAAAACTAAACCCACTGTAATGATTATTTTTCTGTATATAGTCTTTAGAAAACATGCCTCAGGTGTCCCACGCTATTTGATGTCAGATAACCCTGCATTTGTTGGTGACTATCTTATCAAATAAAGTTCAAAGTTCTCGGCTGCAGATTTAAATTTTATATTTAAATTTAATTAAGAAATACCCACGGTCAGAAATCAGCTTTCAAAACTACCAATGTCATGAAATGATGACTTCTAGTTTATATTGATTTACTCACAGGAAGAATACGGCCGTCCCAGATAATTGCGAGAGAGGAAGACAGGGGGTCTCTTCCCGCTGGTCAGCCCATGAGGGAGGGTCCTGTCCCGCTGACTGAAAGGATGCATGGCGTTATCTGTATTCTAGGCCACAAGGATCCCAAAGAGTACAGTGTCAAGATGCAAGCGATTAGGAAAGGCTTAAAGGAGGAAGGTAATAAGAATGCTGGACAATTTAACACATTTCAAGCATATTTATTTCACCTTTAATGATGTTTGAAGCTAGTGTTCGACAATTACAGAATTTTGCTGACTTCAAAATGCCGTTGGCATTCCCCCTCTTAGGATACAGTCCTGTAGGCGCAGTGGCTTTTGAAAGTGAGAGGGACTACATCAACGGCAAGGAGAGAGAAAGGCAAATGGTGAAAATGTCTGCAGCAATGGGAAGTCCACGCGACAGGTACATGTTCAACATGGGTTTTGCCCCAACGGTGTATACATGATCCTAAATAACGATGGTAAACCGATACTTATAGCCTCCATTTTCACAACGCCACAAACCATAACGTATACTGTAGTCAGGTAAGACATATTTAGATTAATAAAGGTATCTAGAAAGGTATCTAGCAATCAAATATTCTGGTCACAATTTCCCCATCCTTTTACAATTTAAAAGATTACCAATTGCAAAAGACTACGCTTCTACCTAAATCACAAAACCCACTTGTTATGCAAGAAATGGGACTACTAGTATCCACTATCCAATTCCTTTATTGAAAAAGTCAAAACCCACAACAGCAAAGAATAGAAGTATAGGTTGATCAGGCTTGTAGTTGTAACTGTATGTCTTCTATTGCTTAACTTTACTTCTTTTGTATACACGGTTGTCGGACAATATGTTTGACTATTCGTTCTACATCTGTTTATTAGCAGCCGGATTTGTTTTGAAATATTTTTTTACAGAACGTTCGCCTTCGTCAACCATATCGCCACTGGAACCCACATATCTGCAGAGTCAGCTATCAAAGTGATGGATACCCTGGACACCGCACTGATTGCAGCAGAGGGGTACATCAAAGTGCAGCAGCAGCGAGAGACGTACGCAAAAGAACGCGCAAAGTCCACAGGTGAGAACGAACTGTTTTTGTTTACAATTAACCTACAGATGACTGATCACCCAAAGATCTCATACCTTCATCGTTCGTTACTCATGCGTGCTTTTCTATGATATTGTAATTTCTTTTTATTGCAATGCATCGTTGCAGATCGAACTTAACCTTCTTCTTCCCCACACCACAGTACCTGAAAGGTATTGTGGAAAAACCCAAAACTTATCTGTCACATTCTGCCATAGTCACATTCCGTCATAAAAATACATGACTTCATCGGCTCCAACAAAGCAGCTATTTTGCTAAAAGCCACCTCAATTTTATATTCCCAAATACATGCAATGCGTGTCCCATACAAAAACTAGAGGTCGGAGATCTCATGTCTTCGTCAGAGGGACATTGTTCTAGATAAAGGAAGGTTTTTTAATACTAGAAATCAATTTTGTCTAGAGTACAAAAGAATCTCTGTACTCCTTTTTTTTTCCTTTTTTTAGTCTACGACATTGTCGCAAAATGTAATGAGGAGTTATGATGAAAGAAAAGAATCAGAACAGGGGGAGATTTATTGCTGTTTTCGTTTGTTATTACACTATGTTCTTTTATTCAATTTGCATCATAACCTTTTGTATTTCCACAGTATGTTCCAAATCTGTGCATGTTAATCAGTTTTTTTGGGCCTTCATGTATTTTATCGCGCTTTTGCAATAAATTTAAGGTCTCCAGTGGACGTCATCCATAAAAATTACTTGGTCTGGCCTTACAATTTAGGGAATGACCTGCCTGACGCATGTCCACCTTTTTCATCCCCCGTCCCAGTATTTACAGGACAGCCCCTCAATTGTAATCTTATAAGCAATTGATACCAGATGCGGCCGGGGACAGCTGTCCCCCATGTGAATCAATGCAGCCGTTGGTGGGGGTAGTTATATATATATCTATCACAAAAGGTCCACTGCAGCGACATAGGGACCCCCCACGAGGCCCGTTTTCGAACTTGACCTTCGCCTCTACAATGATAGGTTGCCTACCAAAAATCATGAACATCTGTTTAAATATACTCGAGTTATTTTGCTAACAAGCCACAAACACAAAAAAGTCCACTGCAGTAACGTACGAACCCCCCCACGAAGCCCAAACTTGCACTTGGCATTGGCCTCTACAACGGTAATCTGCCTGCCAAAAATCATGGACGTCGAATAATGCCTTCAAGAGTTATTTTGCTAAAGCCGCAGTCACCCACAATTTCATAGTCCTTCTGACGAAGACAATCAAGACCAAAGCATGACTGTAACACTTCTCTCCGGTCCAATTTGTCAAGAAAGCAACCAGCACCTTCACCTTTTCACCAATCACGGTGGAGTTTGTCACTGAACAGTTGTCAGCAGTTAAGATTAAGAAGGCCACCGGCCTAGACAACATTGACAACAGGTTGCTAAAAGCGGGAGCGCAAATTCTCGCCCCATCCCTCACCAAGCTCTTCAATAGATCTCTCGACACAGGGAAATTTCCGACCAAATGGAAGCAGGCTAAAGTTCTGCCCATCCATAAGAAGGGGGATAAGACCAGCCCCAGTAATTACCGCCCCGTGTCCATATTACCTGCTATTTCTAAGATTCTAGAAAGGGCAGTACACAATCAATTGTATGACTATTTCAATAAGAACAAACTGCTAACTCAGTCCCAATCTGGCTTTAGAAAGGCCCACTCATGCGAGACCGCCCTCCACTCAGTAGTGGAAGACTGGATTGAGTCAATGGACAAAAAGCAACAAACCGGGGTCATTTTCTGTGACCTGTCTAGGGCGTTCGACACACTGGACCATGATATAATGCTGTTTAAACTCAAAATCTACGGTATAAATGAATTACCCTGCAAATGGTTCAGGTCTTACCTTACTGGTAGGTCTCAATGTACATGCCTTAACTCCGTACTGTCCAGCACTTCACAGGTGACTTGCGGTGTACCACAAGGATCTATCCTTGGTCCACTTCTTTTTATCATATACATTAATGACATACCAAACTGTATCCAGCTATCACTGCTCAAAAATCGGAATATCCGGACGTTTCCGGACCTGTACATGTCCCGTGAAACTTGGCGTGCCCGGGTGTGTCCGGGTGTGTGCAGGAAATGTCGGCCACGGCGTGTGCGGGTCTGTGATACCTCCGGACATGCCCGGACACCTGGTAATTAGTCGTGTGTACGGGAATATACGGGCCTGCACACGTCACACGTCGCAAGTACTGCCAAACAATAAGGGGTCACCATACATGTAGATCGTTTCGCAAATGCGTAAATTGAGAGGTGCACATGTGTTTTCAAAGCCGGTAAGAAGAACGGGCAAAATGCTGGTTAGAAAACAATATTATTTTCACTCCCGAAATCTACCTAAACATGAGTTCGTTCCATGAACCGAATTACTATCTAAAAGCGTTGTAGGTAACAGGCAACGCAACACAAAGACAAGACATCTAGATTGGATGGTAGAGGAAATCAGCGTTACATTAAAAGTTGGTGAATAGAATAAATGTTGTTTGGGGGCCGATGTCTGCTATAAACTCGCCCTCGCCAGAGTCTGGTTGACTTTTGGGCCACGCCAGGCTCATATAAACTCTGCTAAAGAATCTAGAAGGATATATAAAGCTTGGTATGAACAAGGATTTTATATGAACATGGAGCTTCAACTAGGTTATGATATAACGTCCTTGGTATGAATGGGGTCTAAGTGTATCCTTGTATATATTTGTAACTATAACCCTTGCTATGAACAATGAGTAGATTTCTTTGTGTGGTCCATCGTCTCCCCGCATATATTAACGCCTCATTATACCAGCACCATATTGAATCTACAGTGGGCAAAAACAACAACACAATTACTGATCAGAATTTTACCAAACTAGTCTATTGGGAACCTTCGACCTTGACATATTTCACCTTTGGAAACATGGTCGTTTTCTTTGGTAATGAGAGGGACCGCTCTGGTGTTTTTTCAAATATCAGCCCACTTTAGTGTAAAAATAATTTTTTGGAAGAGGCAAAAGATGCACGGTTTACTTGTACATTGTTGTCAGATGTGTATTGTGGTGTCATGGTCAGAGACGAGACGGCGCCCATGTCTTATTTACCTTGTTTGTTTGTTTTTATATAAGAGAGGTTTAACTTCCTTGGTTATATTTAATTTTTATACTTTAAGAACACGAAGTTGAAAACATTACACGGGTAAACTGCAAATTATGTGTTGATGATAACATTCCAGACTATTTTATAGCCTATGTTTTTTATTAGTGTGCGTGCAACTTTTACATAATAGACATCGGGACATTTCACAACTCTTTGTATATCATTATTCCTGCGGTGACCTGTAAACCAGACCAGCCAATTGCATGCATTTCTCTTTGTTGGGGTTTGAAAAGAGGGCCAATCAACGCTCGGGTCATTATTTTTGAAATCTTTCCGTTACATGCCTGGTTGTGGAGCGTGCATTGTACAACTATCCTGGACACAAGCAAGTCACGCAAGGAACTTAGTGAGAGCATGGAGGTAGAAAAGGGTCCATGGTGAGAGATTGTGTCATATCTCATCATCAACACAGGAATATTAGTATTGCGCCTTTCTACGTAAATTGGAGCAGTTTTCAAGACAAGAACGCCGTAGGACACTGGCAAGACGAACTGGGACAAGACTACTCTCCAAGCTGAGGTTGATTGGGAAGATTGTGAACGTCAGAGTATTCCTCGTTCTTTGGAAAGCCGGTAGCCAGGATCCTGGGAACCAGGCTGCGGGCATAGGCGAGTGATAGTCCGCGTGCAAGAGAGTATTAGACCGGACCAGAGGACCGATGTACACCCCTCCGGACTATACACTGTGTCCCGACTCAAGGCCGTGCTGAGGCACAAGATGTTCGGCCCGTGGGTCACCGCCTCAGCGAGGCTTGTTGCACAGCGCGGAATAAAGAGCTTGGGACGGCTTCTAACGACTGGTGCCCAGACGAGACTAATATCTGCTCCCGTGACTAGCTGCGTCAAGGCAAGACACAGAAGAACGAGACGTACAGTTTGTTTCAGCTGAGCTGAAAGACCGGCCGAAGTACACTGGAAATATTGGAGGCACACAAAACACAAACAAAAAGTCACAAAGCCCAAGCACCATGTACAATTAATAAAGAAAACAAAATTATGCAAACAAGAAGGGGGGATAAACGGCCG